TTTACATTTAAAGATGGACCATTTATAGGAAAATCAAGAGAATTTTCTGCTTATGTTCAAAATAGTAATAATGATTATGAGGAAGCTCAAATAATAGAATATTATATATTTGGATATGCAATTTTTGAAACTCATAAACAAAAGAAAAAAGAATGGGCTTTACCTAACAGGGCATATAATCAAAACTTTAGTTGATATTTTCTAATTATATCAACTTGATATGCTAAAAATTAATAAATATATTTTTATAAAAATATTTTTATTTTAATTACTTTAAAACTTGTAAAATTTAAGTATTTAGGAAATAAAAAATATAGCTAAGAATTTTTAAATTTAGATTATAGTACTGTATAGTACTGTATATCATTACTTATATTAAAGTCTTATTATTTAGAAAGAAATTTTCAAATCTTCTCTATTTAGTTTATTTACTAATCCTTAAAAAAATAATGCAAAATTTATATCAATTGTTAAACTGAAATATTAATTGCCTAATAATAACATAAATGAGTTGGCACCAAAGTAAAATAAAATTGATTCAACATTATATTATAATAATAATTATTATTATTTTCAATTATAAAATACTCCCTTTCTTTTCGTTTGAAGCTTGGGGTGCTTCCATAAGTTAAGATAGCTTAAGCTCAGCAGTGAAGTCTAATACAAGGGAAAATTTTAATTGCACTACAACCAATTTATACCAAATATGAGATCAAAAATTTAATTTGGCAACCACCTACAATAATTGAAACTTCAGTTTGAGATTACCCACACACATAATTAGGTTTATCTTATCCTGTGCACACACAATTTGTATAGCCATTGCCATAAAGAATGAAGATTAACTTTAGTGAACAATGCAAATATAAACAAAAAGGTGTTGCAATATGCTGAGTAATAGATGATAAATTTGAATCCATATTAACCAACATAAAAAGGATAACAAGGGACATTTATTATAAAAAAATGAGTTTGGAAAGTGAACACTGAATAAACTAATGTTGAGTGAACTTCTTAATGGTACTCCTAAGAGAAGAGTGGAAAGTTATTAATTTATTTGTGCA